GATTAATAAGCACTATCTAATTTCTCCACTTTTTTCCAGGACCAAATAGAGCTAATTCTGTTCAATTATTTTCAGTGTCTGTGACTTCTTATACGAATATGAAGGGAGATCATTGCCTCCTTGTATATATTCAATTTAGGTAAAGAAAGCAAAATAAAAAAAAAGCTTTCCCATGTAGATGGGCCTCTTCTGAAAACGGCTTAAACCTAGACTGTCTTGGTGACATCAAGATTGGGAATATACAGCAAAACACTGAATTCTAATTCCTTCAGGATGATAAAGTTGACTACAACAGCTACCATTCTATTTGCTTCTCCTCTATTCAAATCCTTTTACTGTCAATTCTTTGATGATAATTTATTATTTCTAGTACCCAAGTATGAGTGAATGGTAATTCAAAAGATATTTATAAGTTGTATAAATTCCAAATAGCAGCATCCCGATATGTCCAAATGTCTCAGAATACTATAATCCCCTTTTCTACTTTATTTAGATTGTAATTACATCTAATTGAACATCCTTCTTATAATGTGGTTTTTATGTCTAGTGGTTTATCTAAACCTTCTTATTTCTATACTTTAGCCCTTCAGAACGACAGCTGACCCTTGAAGAACTCGGTAACATTAGGGGTGCTGATCCCCAACAGTTGAAAATCCACATATAACTTCTGACTCCCCCAAAACTTAAATTGTCCTTCAGTAACCTCAGGGGATTGGTTGCAGGATTTTCAGATAATAGCACAATCTGCAGACACTCAAGTCCCCTATTTAAAATGGCACAGATCAATGCAGTCTGCCCTCTGCATCCTCAGACTCCCAACCATGGATGAAAACAGTACAGGTATTTATAGGAAAAATTCCAGGCATAGGTGGGCCCATGCGGTTCAAACTCATGTTGTTCTAGGGTTAACTATCCCTTGTATCTGGTTCTCTCATTCACTTCCCACCCATATTTTGCTCCTCTTCTGAAACTATCTTTCATCACCTGCTTGTCATCAATTTGCGATTCATTTTTCACCCAGGACACTTTCTATGAGATCCCTTCCTGCAAAGTTCTTATTCAAA